ACCAAGAGTAGATTCACCTGGATTGTGTTAACACTAACTACTGGTATAAACTTCCCAATGCCTCCTCTGCTGTCAGGTCCTGTGCAAACAGTGGACACTTTTGGGTTGACTGCTATGTTCTACAAAGACAGGATTGCTGCTAAAGTGGCGAACATCACCCAGTGAGCAGCTTCAGAGTATAAACTGCTCAGGACATTCAAATTCCTGAGTTCATAGGAAATTGACATGAACGTTTTATATAACTCTGAACTCAAAAATACTGAATCCTAAGACTGCCAAATACAACCAAGCTCGACATTGTGGAAAGCTTGGCAGGAATAGCTTCATTATTGAAAACAGTTTTACTGTGTGACATTTAAAATCTTTCTTTTTATATACACAAAAAGGAGGATATAAGAATAACATAGGGATAATAGAAAAAAGGGGTAAATTATTCACTCTGGTTTTATGTATATTGATACAAAATTATTGTATATGTTTACAACATTGTATTAGCTTACATTGGCTTATATCTTTGTATATTGATACCAATTAAAGTTATATTTTTTACATTGGTATAGATCTTTGTATATTGATACAAAATTGAGGTTTATTTCATTACATTGGGGTAAACCGTTGTATATTGATACAAAATTAAGGTTATATTTGCTTACATGGGTATAGGCAGTTTTATATTGACAGAAAATTAAGGATACAGTTGATCACATTAGTATAGAAACTTGTATTTGATTTAAAATGATGTTTATTTGATTATATTAGCACAGATCTTTGTATATTAATTCAAATTAAGGTTACAGTTGGTTACATTGGTATAGATCCTTGTATATTGATACAAAGCAAGGTTATATTTTGGTTACAACATACCATGTATCAACTCCATGGTATTGAGATACCTATGTAATTCTTAAAACTGCAGTGAGAAGTACTAGTCTTTTGAAAACTCCTATTACGAACTGTTTAAGAAAAAATTTTAAATGCAAGTTAATAGTCAGTAAATCATACTTTTGATTAGTTGCTTTTGTTAGGTACTAGTATTCAAAACTCTTAGAGATCTACAAAATGTGTCATTTAAAGACATTTATTAACTTAAGACTTTCTTTTTACAATGAGATGTGTCAGCTCCTGGCAGCACCCCATACTACTTCAAGGAAGATGATGAGCATTCAAGAATCTTATGGAGTTTACATCAGATGTGGCAAGCTGCCACTGGGCAAGAAACTGCCCTTGCTTCATCTGCTAACAGAATACTGTCCAAACTGGACAAAGAAAACACAGGAACTCAAATTCTGTTAGGACTAGATAGAGAAGAAGTCCCTCATTATTCCTGCTTCACAAATGATCTGTCAGATGTTCTGGGCCGGTAGCCTGAACACTTGGATGCCCCAACCTTCCTGAGGAACCCTGGGTGACTGTCCAGGCAGCCAAGAGCCTTTGTCTTTTCTATAGTATTGGAAGCTGCTTGTTCTGCACATCCTGTCTATGTTGATAACATTCAATTCTCTCAGGTCTCTGATGGGGTTAAAGACTAGATAGTTATACTCTCATAGTTAAGACTAAGTTGTTTAGGATTTAAGAGAATGTTTTAGGTTTAAAAAGAGATTTTTAGGTTAATATAAGTTATGATAGAAAGTGATTTGAATACACACCGTTGGACTCACCAAGATTAGATAGACCAAGATTAGATAGATAGTGGAATACTTTCTCCAAGGTTGCCAGATACAAATGGACTGGACATTGTGAATGTAATACTTAGTAAATAGAAGTATATAGTTTATTGATTTTAGAGAAATAGATATTCTTCAGAAAAAAGGGGAGAAATGTGGCAGAATATTTAATCACATTGTGTAGCCCAAAATTCTGAACTTGGAACAGGAAAATCCTGTTTCTGCTGTGGAGTTGCACAGCCCTTACAGATACCTTTAAGCCAAGAGCTTTCTGTTCATTGTAAACAGGTTGTTGTGGTGTGGCTCAGACCTTACACCTTTTTTCCAGGAGCTTTCTGTAAACAATATTAATTAAACTCAACCATAGGTTCAGAGGCAGAGCATGCAATCTGTTGACAGGGGTGAACATAGGAAAATACAGGAAGTAGATAGGAGGGAGATTGAGTTGGAGGGAATTGAAGACAGTGTGGAGAAGGAGGAGCTTTTTCCTTCTGAGACCTTGGTAGAGTAGAAAGTCTTTTCCCTGCCTCATTGAGCCAGTGGGTTCTTATCCCAACATATGGCCCCTTGATCTTCATTAGTAAAATTTAATGACTTGTATTTTGATTTTAAAAACAGCATACCATGAAAACAGATGTTTTAAAATAGCAACTATGTGGTTGCTCTCCTCCATTTTGGCTGATGACCTCATCAAAATATAAGTTCCCGTGGACTGGCAGCCATCTTTACTAAGGTTAAAGAGTACATGCCATGTGAGTTCACTAACATCATTACTTGACCACACGTCACAAAACAATAACCGTAAAACCTCTTCGTCCTAGTGAGTTTTCTGTATATCATTGTATCTCTTTGTAAACTAAAGAAGTATCAACAAGACTCAAGTGTTTCTGATTGGCATAAAGTTTTGTACGAAGATGAAAATTTAAGTTAATATTTGTTATAACATACTGCATAAGTGATTCAATCCTGGTGTAGAATACACTGTCTGTGATGATAAAACTGTAAGGTTATAAGGATCTACTTGGATTAGCAACAGCTGATATAAGATGTATGTCTAACCCCCTATGTCTTTGGTAACTGCTCAGCACCAAGCTGCTATAAAATGTAGATAAGTACAACATGTTTGATGAACAAGGCAGGCATTTTATTTTAAAATTATATGTTATGAGCACGTGAACATCACATACATTCATATATGTGTGATTGTGACAGATCCCTGGAACTATTGTTATGGACCGTTGTGAGCTGTGGTGTGGTTGCTAGAAATTGAACCTGAATCTTCTGGAAGAGCAGCTGGTGCTCTTCACCTCTGAGCCATCTCTCCACCCAGTTATATTCAATAAATAAGGAATACTAATTAATAAGTTGTATATTACTAAAGCCTATTCAGCTTCACAGTGATATTTGTCTTGGTTTTTCTCTTTGCCCACCTTGTTAAGCTTTGGCTATTTGGAGAAACTGAGTCATACAAATCTACGGTATTCTAGAATAGTAAACTATAAAAGAAAGATACCAGGCTACTATAGACTAAACTTTATGGCATTTACGTTTTATTTAGACGATAAAGGATCTTCACCTCAAATTACCAAGGCTCAAATATAACAGAGATAAAGTCACAAAATCTTAATCTTATGAAAGTTACTGACTTATTGTAAACTGTTGAAGACAATTACCACATGTGAGTTAAGAACAGGAACAAGGTTTATTTAGCCTCCTGTATATGTTTCCAAAGTTAAGCCTAAAACAAGTTACTAGAAACAAGGAAAGTTTCTTCATTATAGATATCATTAGTAGCTAACAGTCCTCAACACTTTTCACAGATCTGCTGAACATGGCATTTAAAATGTTTAATGAACAAAGCTTACTATGACAGACAGACACACACACACACACCCAGCTACCAGAAGTGACCCCCAGGTCTTTACAGCAGATGGAAGGGTACAGAAGAACTCCACTTTGAGCTGGCTTTAAACGTGACAAAGCCAGTCACTGGGTGAAAATCTTCCCTTCATCTGTTTGTCACCAGGACCCTGTCCAAACTGTGGACGAGTAGGACACTGGGGAGTTGCTTTCCTTGCTTAGCTTAGACAAGGTAGGCTGAACCCCCAGGGTCCTGCTCCATTGGACAGTCTTTGGACCTTCTGGACTGGACAGGGAAAACTGATGCTGCCCTGGATCCTCTGTCCCCAGTGAAATCAAGACTACCACAGCAGAACCTTCAGTGATTGTCTAGGTAACGGATAAGTCTGTCGTTTTTAATACATTTGGAAGCTGCTTGGTCTGTACTTCTTGTTTACTAAGGTGAAATTCATCCTTTCCTGATCTCTGATGGTGTTGACTAGGGAGAGCTTTGTCAGTTTAACAGGAAGCAACAACACAGGATTCAGGTGCTTCTCAGTTCTCTTCATGTGTAAAAGTCAGGGGGCACTTTCCTAGAGTTGCTACAAAGTCTAGATACTGATCACATTGTTACCAGATTCTAAGAAGAGATAAACTCCCACAGCAGATTTCACTGTAATTTTTACTATTCCTTTATGTAAAAGAAGGTGTTTTAGCAGGACTGCTCACAGTTGCTTGTCTTGTGGTGAATAATTGGAGAGAAAAAACTGTAAAGTTTATGTAACTTCTAAGGAAATGAAAGTTTAAGCTACAGAGATCTTAAAAATGTGCTTTGAGATCTGTGAATGCAACTTATAAAGATCTAAAAAAGTGCTTTAACTGCAATTTATAAAGGTCTAAGGAGGTGTTTAAGATGTATAAATGCATTTCGTAGAGGTATAAGAAAATGATTAAAGGTGTATGTAAAAATGAAAAATGTTTCAGATTTCTTCCCTCTGTATGCTATTGTTGTATTAAGAACTAAAAATTTCAGAGTTTTAAAATTAATCAATGAAGTTCTGATGAATTATTTATCTACCTATGACAAACAGTGATTGCTATTATCATAGTCACAAGCTCAAGATCATGAATTTCCTTTAGTTGTCTTCTAAGTATAGATTTAAAAGTGCTTCTCCTTGAGCTAAAAACACCTGTCCAATCTATATATACCCAGTGTTCTTGATAAAGGAAAGAGTATTTGTTCATGCTTTTATCTCCAAATCATTTTGGGGTCCCCAAGCTTCTACTATGACTCAAAGGCAGGAGTCTGCTGTCTTTTCTACAATGTGAATTTGAGTACAGATTACACAGTGGTATGTTTACATGTCTAAAGTTTATCTCATTTTGTAACCTAAAAAATTACTTTAAGCTTCAAAGAATCTACTTGAATCCACCTTTCACAGTTCAAATTTACTTCAGTTAAGTGCTGTCAATCAACAGCCTGTTTCATCTCCTGCATATTCAGCTTATTACTAAGGGTGAGGGTCTCCTCCTTCTTTCTGTGGTCTTTGGGTGCCCCACCCTCAACTAATGGGCCTAAAAGTTCAAATGTTCACCTAAGGAAAAAAAAATCTTCTCACCTCTTTAACATTACCTTATTTTCCGTGTGTGTGTGTGTGTGTTTCAGTAAAATGCTAGCTCCAGGTGTTTCCTCAAACTGTGCATGTCAGACAGCTTCAAAGCAAAGGCCAAATGATGGTTCAACTTAAAGAGGCATCTGCATTCCCCAGCTGCAGATGGTCCTGCAAAGCCAGGACAGTGAAGAAACAGCTTGATTAAACCTACCCAGCATCCCAGCTTTCTTGGGTCCCCAAAGATGTTGCCACTCCCCAGACAACAGGGAGCAGTCTAAAGAGCATGTTGACCCCATTTCTGCCTTCTCAGTCACCCCTCACCACAGCAACAGAAACCCTCACTGAGACAGAGGTGAGTAAGGGCCTCACTCTGCTCCCTGAAGACACTATTCTCTCTTGCAGTTCAACCCCTGGCCCTCCTTTGCCCTCCCACAAGGCTGCTAACACTCACCTGTACAGCTCCTAGGGATCTTATGGCCTCTCTGACTTCCTAAGGCAGCAGGCACCACCAGGCAGGTCTCACCCCCATTGGGTGATGCGGTCCTGTAGAACCAACCAGCATTGCTGCAACACTAGTTATAAAGTCCACTCAGATGCCCTGGATCCCAGCTGGGGTGATGGCACTCCTGCTGCTGGCGGCCGCCCTGGCCCCAACCCAGACCAGCTCCGGTGAGTGCGGGGTCGGGAGGGAAATGGCCTCTGCTGGGAGGGGCGGGGGTGGCACCGGGGAAGCCACGTCACTGCGTAGCCCACAGGACCCTCCACCCCTTCACCCTCATCTGGAGCCCTTCGCCCCTCTCCTCCCGGGCCCGCACACCAGCCTCGGGTCCTTGGAGGATGTCGGGGTCTCACTGCACGCCTACCCAAGGATCACACTCGATGCAGAATTTCCACACCACTGTGTCCTGGCCCAGCCTCCAGGAGCCCCGGTTCATGGAAGTCGGCTACCTGGAAGACACACACTTCATGCCCTTGGACAGCAACACGGAGAATCTGAGGATGGAGCTGCTGCTGCTGACCTGTGAACTGAACTGCTGATTTCCAGACAATACAGACAGGAGTTGCTCCAAAAAACAATTTCTAAACAGGTCCACTCCCCCATTCCTCAACCAACACCATATACTTTATTTTCCACTACCTCTGGTTGGTGGTGAGTTAAAAGGAAAGTTAGAGTGTTTAAGAACCATCATTAAAAATTGGATTTGAAAAAACTAAAGTTACACTGGTCCAGCAGGCAGGAGAGGGCATCTGAATCCTGTCAGCTCCATGCTGCTCTGAGCTGCAGCTCCTCACTTCCACACTGAGAATAAGAATCTGAATGAGAACTTGATTGTTAACATCCTTGACCTGAGAGTTGATTGACAGGTAAACTGAAGGACAGAGAATATTTAGTGTTTCCTGGAGGAAATAATTGGCAGATGAAGAACCTTCCAGAATCTGTGCCACTATGCTGTGTGTATCTGGTGGGACAGGATGAGGTGTTGGGGGCTGAGTGTGACCAGTGCTGTGCCCAGGTGGAGCTCAGTGTGTTGTTATCCTTGATGGAGTCACTTCTTGGCTGTGTCACCTCTGGGCTCTGCACTCTCCATCACTGTGAATCACCTGCTGAGAGTCTGTGATCACAAGGACACAGGGATGGCCAGACCCTTGTCCTGTACCCAGGATTATGAATACCCAGGGCTGAAGGTTAGAGACTCAAGCAGATATCCTTAAAAATGCTGGGTGCATTAGGTAAGTCACACTACATTTCCTCCCATCCATTTGTTTTAGCTACTAATGATGCAGTCTTGAAGCTGCACAGGCCACTCCCTGTGGCCATGCTTCTGTGATGATTTCTGCTTCTTCTTTCCAGTGTCTTTTCCAGGGTTCTCGGGTGTCTGGTGTGATCTCTCTGTTCATCCCTCAGGAGCACATCCACAGATAAGACAAGACCTAATAGTGATGATTCTCTCTCCTAAAACTTGGGTACAGATTCTTGCACCTGGACTATCTTATATTTAAAATCTTAATCTCCACCACCACCTCTATGGACTTGTGACTTGCAGCCATGACTTGGGCATGATGAATGTGGTATTCAGCACAGTCTGACTTAAAGTCCTGTTCATAAGCCTGTTGTTGCTCTGCATTGTGGATGACTCTGTATTGCAGGAGACCAAAGTCCTGCCCATAGGCCTGTAACCATTTAAATTAACTAATATTTATAGTACTAAAGACACAGGAGGAATAAACTGAGGCACTAACTTCCTACTTCAGCGAGGAAACTTTATTTTCTAAACTATATATAAGATATCTATTTGCAACCATGATTCTACAACTAAACTGCCAGTTCTTCAGAAATCTCTCGGTGTGTCATTCTACCAAGCTAGCTTGTCTGGTTTTCTCTTGAGCTCCTCCAAACCCCAGGAGGGTCCTTAGCTCTCTTTCCTAGATTTTTGTTTCATCTGTATCTTGCCAGATTCTTCTCTGTTGTTCATGCAAGCCCAAAGAGAAAATGCCTACGACTTATGGGGAGCTTCTGCCATGAAGGCTTTTCAAAGCTGAGAGAAAGAGAGAGAGATGGGGGGTGGGGGGTTCCCTGTTGTCCTGGATTAATACACAAGCTACCATTGGGAATCTTTTTCCCAGTGAAGACATACAGGAACTATGTTGAAGCAATGGTCTCTGAGGGTCTCACCTCAAAAGCTTCTGCGCCACAAAAGCGATCAAAGCAGCTACAGGCCACTCCTTCCAGACCCAGACTTTGTCCAAAGGAGTAAAAGGTCCCACAGGAGCTATCCATGGTTGTGCATCTTCTTTCCCACCTCAGCAGGAGCTGATCTCAGGAGCAGTCCATGGTAATGACTCCTTCTTTCACACCTCAGGCTACTGCCTTGCTTAAACACTGCAAGAGCTGTCCCACAGGAGCTGTCCCAAGTGTGAGTACCTCCTCTCCAGCCTCCTCCAGCAGCCCACAGAGATGATGCCTCAGCAAAAGCCAGCTACAGTTGGGTACACATTCCACCCTAAGACTTGGCCCAGATGCAGGGAAAAGAGAGGGGTGAAAAAAAGGCACCAATTCCTGGACAGGAAAACCCACCAATCTCTGAGCCTCTTCCCACCACCAACCTAAAGACTTGAAATCCCACCAATCCTCACTCTGGAAATCTCTGTCCCGAGAAGTTTTGCCCCCTCATAAATCCTATATAAGGACTGCCTTTTACTGATTCCCTGCTGTTAGTTCCGAAGAGCCAAAGGCAGCCATTCCTGGATTCATCCCTCCACATCCTGGATCCTCCAATACACCTCTTTCATGAGATTTGCTGCCTGGTATGACTCTCTCATCAGAAGAAGCCAAGAAGAAAAGCAGCAATGAAGAAGAGAAGAGAGGGAGTGGGGCTGAGACTCCTGAGATCCTTAGTTCAGCTGCGAAGACCCTCCCCTGGAAGCTACAATGTCTCCACTGAGGAGGCTTCCTCTCAGAGCTGTGTGGTTCCTGGACTCTGTGTCTCAGAATGCCTTTCTGCTGGGACACTGTCCCACCTCAGACCTGTGTGATTCCTGAGCTTCCAAGTCCCAAGATACTCTTTTATCTGAGCAGAAATGCTTACATCTACAGCACCTCCCCCAAAGCATCAGCCAGAGCAGCTCTGTCATCTCAGAAACACTGGGAACAATTATCCTCAGCCACAGTGGTCCAGGGATCCAGAACCTCCATCCATAGGTATCTTCCCTGTTAATCTACATGTATCAAGACAATATCCACTGATTGGTGTCTTCTCCCAGTAACAGACTTAAAAAAATAATGCAAAGCCAACTGTAAGGATGGAATTCATGCCCCATGCATGAAATCTATTATATAAAGGCTCAGGAGCGACCTTTAACCCCCTAGACTGGAGAGGTATGTGCTAACTACTTTACTTAGTCTTGCACAGTGGGAAGAATTGTATTGGAGATGAATGTTAGGTGCAAGCTAGAAAAAATGACACATGTAAACAAGAAATAGGACCCCAGCAAGGACAACCTCCCTCCATTAATAAATTGGAACTATAGCCAATTGTTTGGCCAGTGTAATTTCTCCACAGGTATTTAGTAAGCATTACTCCCTGATGGCTGCTTTAAGCAGGTCTGTTTATGTACACTCCAGGCCTGGCACCATTTAGCCCCCAACTGCCTTCTTGTACATAAAGTCAATACCTCAGGACCAGCTGATAGGGTTGAATGGAGGGAACTCTCCCAAGCATTTGTTAAGAAGCTGTAGCTGGTGCATTAAAACCCCTTTTTAACTCAGTCCTCTGTATATTTCATTACTTGGATGACCTCTTAATATGACAAGCTAAAAGGCAAGATCAAAACCTAACCTCAGAGAATTTCAAGCCATAAAAGCCCTAACAGAAGAAGGCTTTTTATTATCAAATGTTAAGATTCAACTTGTTCTGGCTGGAGAGATGGCTCAGCAGTTAAGAGCACTGATTGCTCTTCCAGGGGTCCTGACTTCAATTCCCAGCAACCACATGGTGGCTAAAAAACATATGTCATGGGATCCAATACTCTATTCTGGTGTCCCTGAGGAGAGCTACCATGTACTCACACACATAAAATAGAATAAATCTTTAAAAATGAAAGATTGAACTTATTCAACCCGTCACATTCCTAGAGAGAGAAATCCGTGGATCCTGAGTCTGGCCAGCTACACCTGTCAGTGACTTCCCCAATGCATTAACCCTAAATACCCTTCAAAGCTTCATAGGCAATATTAATTGGTTTAGGTCTTGGCTCACCATACCAACCAGGCAATCACAGCCTCTATTTGATTTACCTAAGGGTGACAAGGACCCTCTTCTCTCCTCTCTCCCTGACAGCAGCAGCCAGAGGGACCCTTTGTTCTATTAAACACCATGTTAGAAGCACCTGGCATGTTATGATCCACAACACCCAATCCAGGTCTTTACATTCAGTTCTTCCCCCACAGTGGTTGGAGACTTACATCCACCTCAGGGGATCCTAGAATGGCTCCGTGCTCCTACAGGGATAGTGCCTCCACTACTAACTGAGGTTGACACTTTATCCACTATTAGGACAGGAAGAGAGCATATCTTATAAATTATAGGTAAAGAACCTGATGTAAATGTTTTCTCTTCTCCATCTCAGATATCCAATGGCTTCTGAGAAACCAAACCTCTTTTGCTAATAGCCTCATTGGCTTCCCAGGACAGACAGACAACTATTACCCCAAAGATAAATTCCTTCCTCCACTCCAGTCTTAAGTTGCTTCTTTCTCCACTGTCCTCTAGGTCTGGTATCCCAAGGCCCACAACTTTTACATATGGAGAGCCACAGGATGCTCTCTACACAGTAAACCAAAGAGACACTGGCTCTGAGTCACATTTTTCACCCTCACAGATAAATCTCCCTGATTTAAAGAACTGTATTCCATCTTCCTGGTTTTAACATACCTAAAAGAACCAGCTAGTCTATGTTCAGACAGCACTTATACAGTTAGTTTACTCCTGTGGCTAACCTGCTCCTATGTTAGACTTGGTGGTGACCCTCTTTCCCAACTAGTAATTAAGATTTGAAAAATAGTTTAAACTAGAACATATCCAGTTTTAGTCAGCCATGTGTGGTCACACTCATCCCTCACCAGACCACTCTTTGATGGCAACACTTCAGCCAGTAAGATTGTCACAACTGGGGCCTTTACTCTGTCACCCCTCACTCCTAAAGAACTCCCATCAGATAACCATATTAACCTGAAAGAGCTACAGCCAAATTCCTCAATGCCCCCATAAAATACCTCAAACACATGCTCAGAACTTGCTTCTCCCATGCCTCCCTAATTCACATCCCTGCCATACAACAATTGGGCACCAACTTCAGAGCCCTAAGGCTAATGCCCTCTTACAAGAATTATGTCACCAACATCCCATCACTGTACACAAAAATTTGTATTTGCTACGATTGATACCTATTCCCATTTAAAAACCTAATTAATCAAAACATGGGAGAATGGGGTGCATAAAATTTATGTTCCCTTTGATACTAAACCCTCTTCCCAGTGGACGAGGAGGTCTACAGTGCCAAGACAATGACCTAGGTCCAAAAAGACAATCTCAGGACTGAGAATGAAGATCTTGTAAATAAAACACACCCACCTGTAGCTACAGATGCTTCATCTGGGAAGAAACAGGACGAATCTGTGTCTCAGCCCGAGGCTGAGAAGAGAGATGCTGAGAGAAGAGGCAAAGTCTCCTCTTTACAGTCAGGCTTGGCAGTGTGAGTCGCCCATTGCAGGTGAACAATGAGCCTGGTCTCTGTGGGGTCCATGTAGAGCTTGCAGGCCCGAGCCTCTGTTTAAGGAGAAGCATCTCTCCACTGCATCCCCAACCACTTGTACCACCATTGTATGCCTTGCAGTGGCTTTTCTTCTAGAAGAATCCAGGGTCTATCTTCTGAAGAGAAGAAGGAGAAGAGGACACAGAAAGTCTGGCCTGAGGATCGCTCCTGGTGTCCAGACAGCTTCTGGGTCAGAACTCGGAGACACCATAACAAACATCGCTTTGTCCACAGCACAGGGTTCAGGCAAAGTCTTAGTCTCCAGGCGGTGAGGTCAGGGGTGGGGAAGCCCAGGGCTGGGGAGTCCCCATCTCCCCAGTTTCACTTCTGCTCCTGAGTCAGGTCCTTCTGCCCGGACACTGGTGACGCGCCGGCAAGTCTCTCTCCCATTGGGTGGCGCGACCCAATCAGTGTCGCCGCGGGCACTGGTTATAAAGTCCATGCAGCCTGCGGGACTCAGACTTCCCGGATCCCAGATGCGGGCGATGGCGCCGCGCACGCTGCTCCTGCTGCTGGCTGCCGCCCTGGCTCTGACCCAGACCCGAGCAGGTGAGTGCCGGGTCCGGAAGGAAATGGGCTCTGCGTTGAGGGGCGGGGTCGGCACCGGGGAAGCCGCGTCCCTGTGTCATCCACCGGACCCTCCGCCCCTTCTCCACCCGCGTCCCGAGCCCCGTGCCCTGCTCCCCTCCCGGCCCGCGCACCCACCCGTGGTCCGAAGAGGAGGTCGAGGTGTCACCGCGCGCCGCCCCCAGGCTCACACTCGATGCGGTATTTCCACACCGCCGTGTCCCGCCCCGGCCTCGGGGAGCCCCGGTTCATCTCTGTCGGCTACGTGGACGACACGCAGTTCGTGCGCTACGACAGCGACGCGGAGAATCCGAGGTACGAGACGCGCGCGCCGTGGATGGAGCAGGAGGGGCCGGAGTATTGGGAGCGGATCACACAGAGAGCCAAGAGCAAGGAGCAGATTAACCGAGTGAACCTGAGGACCCTGCGCGGCTACTACAACCAGAGCGAGGGCGGTGAGTGACCCCGGGTCGGAGGTCACGACCCCTCCACGTCCCCACACAGGGGCCGGAGACGCCCCGGGTCCCAAGTCCGAGGTTCGGGAGCAGAACCGACCCGGGACTGGTTTCACTTTCAGTTTGGAGAAGTCCGCGGGTGGGCGGGGCCGGGGCGGGTGGGCGGGGCTGACCGCGGGGTCCTGCAGGCTCTCACACTATCCAGTGGATCTCCCGCTGTGAAGTAGACTGGAACGGGAGCTTCCTCCGCGGGTACAGGCAGCTCGCCTACGACGGCCGCGATTACATCGCCCTGAACGAAGACCTGCAGACGTGGACGGCGGCGGACACGGCGGCGCAGATCACAAAATGCAAGTGGGAGCAGGCTGGTTTTGCAGAGACATATAGGGCCTATGTGGAGGGCGAGTGCGTGGAGTGGCTCCGCAGATACCTGGAGCTCGGGAAGCAGACGCTGCTGCGCACAGGTGAGGGGCTGCGGGCAGCTCCTCCCTCTGCCCTCGGGCTGGGGTTCAGTCCTGGGGAAGAAGAAACCCTCAGCTGGGGTGATGTCCCTGTCTCAGAGGGGAGAGAGTGTCCCTGGGTCGCCTGATCCTCATCACAGTGACTGCACTGACTCTCCCAGGGTCAGCCTTCTCCCTGGATAGTTCCCAGTCTGACTCAGGAGGGAAGGAGAGAATTTCATGATATAATAACAGCAGGGGCTCCCTGCTGTCAGCCATGGCCTCTCCCAGGCCCTGTTCTTTGCCCACATCCACTGTCTGTGGACACTAACTCTTGTCATGCTGAGTGTGTCTGCCCTTACACCTTGGGACCGGAAGTCTCCTTTACCTGATGGGAGACATGGACTCCTCTACACTAGGCTGGTTCCCCTAATATCTAGAACTTTCGAAAGAATACATTCTCGAAGATCCCTCTCTGACTGTGGGGTTTGCATGCCCATGCCTTCGACAACCCTATTCCTACAGTGGTGAATGGTCACATGAGCCCTTATGGGGTACTCTGCAGAAATACTAAGTTGTGGGATTTCTTTTTGCTTTTTTTCTTTTTTGTTTTTCCTTTTCTTTCTTACTTTCTTTTTTCTTCATTTTTATAAGGCATTATTTGCTTCTGGTCAGTTTTTGTCTGCACAGGAGTGATCCTGATTCTCCATGCCCTTGTATTATCATTTGTATCAGTCTCCACAGGTGCCAGGGGCGAGTGCTAACCTGGATAATTAGACAAGTTAAATCAGGGTTCTCATTAAAGGAGAGATTCTTGTGAACTTAGACTGTTTCCTGTCAGAACTAAACATCCAGATCCCTCCTGCTCTTCCTGCCCCCACAATTTACAGTACTCCGCCTTGTGAAAAGAAATGGGACTTTTTTTTTGGGGGGGGGGGGTTGAGACAGTGTTTCTCTGTGTAGCCCTGGCTGTCCTGGAACTCACTCTGTAGACCAGGCTGGCCTCAAACTCAGAAATCCGCCTGCCTCTGCCTCCCAAGTGCTGGGACTAAAGACGTGCGCCACCACCACCCGGCGAAATGGGACTTTCTGAGAGACAGGGTCTTCTCCAATCCAGGGCTGGAGTGAGAGGGAAGATCCACACACCCTGTGAGCCCACTGTGTTCCAGTGAGTACTACACTGGGGTCCACAGCACACTCCAGGGTTCCTGTGTATCACACCTGTACCTTGTGGTCCAGAGGCAGGGACTGGGAGTCATTTTCTCTGGCTGAGTGTCAGAGGTTCACCACATTTCTGCCACATACATTGTGATGGCTGTTCACTTGGACTGACAGTTATACTGGTAAGCCAGATGACAACAGTGGTTGACTCTCAGAGGTGGAACCCTTCCAGTACATATGGCCCTAATTTCTAATATAGATATGAACACAAACACATGATAAATTACTTATTTTCCATTTTATCTGTCATTCTTTGACTACCTATCTCATGCTATAGAACATCACATAAGTAAGGCCATGTTGACTCACTGGCTCATGTGGATTCCCTCATACCTTCTGAGTCCCCCAGGAACAAGTGCAGTTCTGTGCTGAGGGGACCAGCTCTGCCTGGAGGTCACTAGTGCGATGACAGTTTTGTCTTCAAACAGGCACATAGTTCAGTGTCACCATTGATTTAGCTGTATCTTGTGTAGATTTCAGTTTGCCTTGCTAATTATGGGATTTCTCAAATCTTCCACACAGATGCCCCAAAGGCACATGTGACCCATCACCCCAGACAAGAAGGTGATGTCACCCTGAGGTGTTGGGCCCTGGGCTTCTACCCTGCTGACATCACTCTGACTTGGCAGTTGAATGGGGAGGAACTGACCCAGGACATGGAGTTTGTGCAGACCAGGCCTTCAGGGGATGGAACCTTCCAGAAGTGGGCATCCGTGGTGGTTCCTTCTGGGGAGGAGCAGAAATATACTTGCCATGTGTACCATGAGGGGCTGCCTCAGCCCCTCAGCCTGAGATGGGGTAAGGAGGGTGTGGGTGCAGAGCTGGGGTCAAGGAAAGCTGGAGCCTTCTACAGACCCTGAGCTGATCAGGGCTGAGAGCTGGAGTCATGACCCTCACCTTCATTTCCTGTACCTGTCCTTCCCAGAGCCTCCTTCATCCACTGACTCTAACATGATAATCATTGCTGTTCTGGGTGTCCTTGGACCTGTGGCCATCATTGGAGCTGTGGTGGCTTTTGTGATGATGAGAAGGAGAAACACAGGTAGGAAAAGGCAGGGTCTGAATTTTCTCTCAGCTTCCTTTAGAAGTGTGCTCTGCTCATTAATGGGAAACACATCCACACCCCTCATTGCTACTGTCTCCAACTGGGTCTGTTGTCAGTTCTGGAAACGTCTAGTGTCAAGATCTTCCTTGAATTCTCACAGCTTTTCTTCTCACAGGTGGAAGAGGAGGAGACTGTGGTCCAGCTCCAGGTTAGTGTGGGGGACAAGATTATCCTGAGGCCATTGGAGTGAAAGGAGATATACTGGGAGCTCTGGGAATCCATAATAGCTCCTCCAGAGATGTGGAGCGCTGCTGCCACGCCTTAAAGATGGTGCCTGCTTGCCCTTGCAGACTTGGAGTAAACAAGCCTTGTTTGGTCCTGGGGCGGTACTTCCTGGTGGCCTGATCTTGTGTCATGGGTCCTTGACCAATCACAGTGCGAGACATGGTATGGGCTCATGGGCAGTCCTACACAGGGTTGGCTCGGGGGCACACCTTCAAGCTTCATGTAACTAGCAACTCCTGAGTAAACTGCTGCTGGAAGGAACTGGTGTGCGAGTCTTTCTTCCCTGCTGGTCGGGGTGGTAGGCGCCGCACATTTGGTGGCCTGCACGGGGATTTCTTAGAATTCCCGGAGTTCCAGAACCAGTAGCAGTCAGGGCGATCGATCGGTAAGTGGGGCCCTTCAATCTTTAAGGTCCTCGGACGGAGGCTTCAATCTTTAAGGTCCTCGGAAGGAGGCTTCAATCTTTAAGGTCCTCGGA